TATAAAAATATTATTATATTTAAAAAATTAATTCCTCTAAAATTATAATAGAAAAAATACTCTGAATTTCTAACCTTAATTTCATTCTCCCTTCTCATCTCTTTTGCTGCTCGCCACTATTATCATTTCCCTTTTCGGCCGTCGTTGCTGCCCTTACCGTCTACACCTTAAGAACGTGACAGATCCAACAAAAGAAGTATACTTTCCCGACTTGCGAAAATATTGCTGGCGTTTGCAAAGTTTGTCCATCAAGCGGCGATAACGTTTAACGAGAAGGATTATAATGGCATGTTGCAGGCCGAACAATCAACACCCAAAACAACGACAAAGGGCGAGCAAGGTCGGCAACCAACATAGGTAAAAGGGTTATGAAATAGGGTTTTTCCAAGATTTGAAAAAGAATTGTGATTTTTTGAAATATATATTATAATTTTTTTATTTTAAATATTTTTTTAAATTTTATAAACGCAACATGCTTTAGATAAATATTTTTTTAACGATTGTGATGCACTAAATACCTAAAATGATAATGTTGATGATATTAAATATTAATATTAACCGAAAAAAATTAAACACATATATAGAAAAAAAATATAATTTAAACATTTTTATATTAAACCTAAAATCAAACCCATTTACATTATCTCATAATTGACGGCCACCTACATCATAAAGTCTATGTTTATTTTTTAAAATTTAAAAAATTCATATTATTTGACTTTTATTTAAATAAATTCTCATATAAACTACTTTGAAAATTCTCAAATATCAAAGTTACAAACAATGTTCGTGACACTAAAACTTTCAATCTTCAGTTTCAGAATTTGTTACGAGTTAATAATGATTAAAAATGAGATTATAGATGATAACACATACTGCATATAAAAATTCAATTAGAAAAGCTACATGTAGAAGAAAATAATTTCACTGTATTGGTGATAAATGTAAATTAAACCTTTATTTAATTAAATTATATTGTATTGCGGGGTTTCATCTAAGGATGATTATTTTATACAAATTTTACGGACTTTGATATGATCGATATTAAAAAATTAATTTTTTTTTGAAATTCATGTTTGGGTCGGCTGGATCGAGTTTTATGAAAGACGAGTTCGTATCAAGTTAAGCTTTTGTTTAAAGTGAGATAATAATATAATTATCCTCTCTATTTTTAAGGATAATTAGTATAATGCTCCTTTTATATTCTTTTAATTACCTTCTTATTTTATCAAATAAATGGGATTTAAAAAATATATATGTGTCACGTTGAATGGGATAGAAAACAATATTAAAGCATAGTGTCATAACTATCTCTTTAAGATCGTAATATGATTAGAAAACCATATTTGTATCTAATTTCAAATATGAATAAACTCACGTACACCTAAAATAAATAATATTTTTCTTTACCATTAAAATTGTTCTTTAAATTTGACTATTTATGCGTGTAAGATAATGGTCATTAATCTTATATTGACCGATCATAAATTTCTTTCGTATTTCTTTTACAAATAATGAATCTAAATAATTAAAATCAAAACCAACTATTATTAATAACTTAAATTTTAAAATCTCAAAATGTTGGAAGACAGGAATTAGAGGAGGCTAGCTTGGTTGATCCCCATAAAATGGTAAAAAAATTATTTAGCCCCTTTCAAATATAAATTTTTTAATTTAGGTAATAATAAAATTATATTTTAACCCATAGTAATAACAAACTTTTGATTTAACATTTTTAAAATTTAAAAAAAATAATGAAAAAAATATTTTAACCCTTCGTATTTTTTTATTTACTTTTAACCCCTAAAATTTCCCAACCTCATATGTGATCTCAACTTTATTATTAAAGCATTGTCTCGATTATGAGGACTTAGAAAATTAACATCTTATCCACACACAACTATTAACGAGGACATCGTTAATACAACTTTATTTTTTTAAAATTAAGATTACAAAATCCAAGGAAAAGAATCTTGTTTTTATATGTTTATTTGTTTACAATTTTAAAGATTTGATTGGGTTTGGTTAATATACCCAAATCCCGATTGTTGACTTGTGCTAATCACGTGATACCCAAGACGCGTGGCTCAGGGTTCAATTACATCAGACAAAAGCTGTTCTGTTTCTCTTGTACATTTCAATTTTTTTAAATGGGATGTTGAAAGGATGTTGGCTGTTTAATTAGTTAGAATTTGCATATGTTTTTATTTATATTATCTCCCCAAGTTAATAATTCATTTTAATGTATATTGATTATTCCGCGTTTATCTTTTAAACTTTAACTATAAATTTTTCAGTGAATTCGTTAATAAAAGAAAGTGTTATTTTCTTTGAAGATTAATAGTTCGAACAATTATGTCTGTAAGATAAGATATAATTGCATTATCAATTACTAAAAAAATTCATGAACAAATGCTATGATAATCATCCAATATTATTCTTAAAAAAACTTTAAAGATAGGAAAAACAATAAAAGATTACACATGAAAAAAATTACTCAAGTTCATTTTACTGTTTAAACTTTAAAGATTAGAAAAGTTATTCTAACAAATAACTAAAATGATTTAAGCGTTAAATTAAGGAAAATAATAAATAATAATGTATGGAATAATTTTTAAAAATGTTCAATAACCCTTTCAAATTTTTAAAAGTTTTGATTTGATCCTCTCAAAATGTTAAGTTTTTTTTATTTATCTTTATTTTTTAAAAATATCATTAATATATATTTATATTAAATTGAATGATATCCTTAAAATATATGGTTGACTTACAATGGCATAAGGACAAGCCACAAGTATATAAATATAAAATTATATTTTAAATTGTTAACTTATCTTACAAGCTAACCTTTTTAGGGGTTTATTTTCTACTTCAATATTTTTTTAATTATTTATAGAATTCTGATATTTTTTTTATTTTTCCACTTTATAAAAATATATTTGGAGGGAAATCAAATTTTCATATTTGCTCTATTTTTAAATTTATAGAAATTGGAAATAAAATGATAATCTCACATGTAATTTCAGTCTCCTACTTTCTACTAAAAATAAAAACAAATTCATATTAATCTGTAAAGAAATAAATAATAAATATTTTACATGTTATATACACACATATTATATAATATTTTTCTCTTAGAAAAATCTCTAATCAATCCGCACAAAATCAACTATCAGATCCACCATCGAATACTAGAGATTAACCTCTATTTTTTAAAATAATAATATATCCTTTTATAATCTAAGATAAGTACAAGGTAGTATCTATTCGAATATTAATCTCTATTTTTTAAAATAATATTATTAATTAACATATCATACCATGATTTTTATATTATTAATATCTTACTGTTCTACCCCTGGTTTGAATACTCGTTTGTCAACAAGTAGTTATTATTTTATAAATTTTTATATTAATGTTGATGGCCACTGTCAATAATGGTGTTTATTTGTATTCATTATTTATCTAAGTGATTTGATTGTGTATTTAATCTTTTTCTTAAATATTATTTTTATTTTTAGATGATTAGTTTATGTACTTCTATAGTTTTAGGGTAAATATACAATTTATATGATTAGTTAGATTTGTTTTATAGACATTTCTTACAATTTTAATTTCTTCTTTATTTAATAAAATTACATTATGCTAATCCATATTTCTTTCTTTATTTATACTTCTACAATACTATCATAGATAAAATTATTTTCTATTATTACAAGAAGTGGTTGGAAGAAGTGAAATTAGAAGGCTTTACCTAAATACCACTTCAACCCAAACAACACTACTCTCAAATAATAAAGCCAATGAAAACACATGTAATTATATATAAAAAGCAGAATTTATATGTCAAATATGAATTCATAAATATGTAATTATGATATATATATATATATATATAATGGAATAAATTTTATTTTATTTTTTTGGCAATGACATGCAATAGATAACGTATGGAAAATAAAGTGATTGGCAGAGGCAGCTAAGCCAACCCCAAGGGAAAATTTGACTTTGTAGTCTCCTAAATAAAATCATCCCTTTTAAAAGTCATAATGTAACAGTGATGCACCTGACCATATTTACCTCAAGACTTTGATTCGGATTAATGGTATCTGGTCATATAAATATTAGCTTTGAGAAACAAGAGAAGTTAGTATTGTAAATGATAATTGATCCTCCAAATCCAATTATTGAATAAAAAAAATCAAAATTTAGGTGAAGGAAGGTAATTGGAAAGTTGGTGTTACATTTTCAATTCAACTAGTTTGACACGTACACCATAGGTTATTTATTGCTGCTTATTTCTTATACTTGATTATAATATTTTTTTTGGATAAATAAATAATTTTATTACCCAAATAAGAGTCAAAATACAAAGCAAAAACAACCAATCACCAATCACAAAACATTTACAACCTACTTACAAAAATAATGATCGGTTAAGTTATACCCCAAGCATTACAAAGATTGATATTAATACTATCTAAACGGTTAATATTCTTTCCTCAAAGTTGAATTCCAACAACGTCTTTGACAGATTTGAGGATTTCGTCTGCAGTTCTTGAGCAACCTTTAAATATTCTACGATTTTGTTCCTCCCACAAAGTGTAAATGAAGGCAGACCAAACAATTTTTAAGACGGTGGTAATAAGGGATTTACCTTTCCACTTTTCACAAGCTTGAGCAACCATATCATCCCATGACAGAGTTGTTTTCTGCAATCCTGACAGGGTCAAAATATTCCCCCAAAGGTAATTTGCCAAGTAGCAATCAAAGAATAAGTGATCGCGCATTTCATTGGCTTCATTACAAAACACGCAACACCCATCGATGTGGATTCCCATTCTTTGAAGCCGAGCACGAATGGGAAGCCTATCTTGTAAAGCCATCCAAGTGATCATAGTGTGCTTAGGAATGTGTAAGGAAAACCAAACCAATTTTTCCTACTGGACCTTGCTGTCTTTCGCTCTAAGCTTTTCCCATATATCTCTTGTTTTAGTTACTCCCTTAGATAAAACTGGAAAAGCTTCATTTCTGATCTTGAGCAGCCTTTTTAAACACCAACTAAGGTTGGCACCCGCAGTCATAAGCCAAGGATCGTGGTCCTTAATCATGTAGGCCTTGATCTAAGTAACCCAAATGGACCCATCACCAACCAGTATTTTCTGAATCAGATTAACCATGCAAGCCTTATTCCATAATTTGATATTTTTCAGTCCAAGGCCACCTTCCGATTTTGGCTGAAAGATTTTCATCCAACTAATACGCGCACCAGCAGCAACCTTGTTTGTTTCTTTTCAAAAGAATCTGGAACAGAGTTGCTCGATCTTGGTCAGAATCGAATTCGGCAGAACCAGCTGTCTGCACCAATAATTCGCAATGATGTACAAAATAGACCAGATGAGCTCAAGATGGCCAGCATAACCGAGATGCTTAGCAGACCATAAATACAGTCTCGATTTTATGTTCCCGATGAGCAGATCACAGTATTTTTCAGAAAGTTTTTTGGATACAAGAGGAACTCCTAAGTACCTCACAGGTAGAAAACCTTGATTGAAACCAATGCTCTGCTTAATCAGTTCAATATTACTATGCGAGATTCCAGCAGTAAAAAAAACACATTTGGCAGCATTTAATTTGAGGCATGACATTTCATAGAAAGACTCCAACACAACAATAACACCAATAACAGACTCCACTTTGCCTTTACAAAAAATCAACAAATCATCGGCAAAAGACAAGTGGGTTAATTCAATTTTCTTGTATTTAGGATAATAACCGTATAACCCTCTAGCAGCAGCTAAGTTTAACATTTTGGACAACACATTCATGGAGAGAACAAAGAGAATAGGAGAAAGAGGACCACCTTGGCTAATACCTCTGGCTCCCTTAAAGAAACCAAACAAGCTGCCATTAAACAAAATTGAGAATCGAGCTTCAGTGTAGCATGCTTCGATCCAACCAATGAAAGTCAGAGGGATATCCATGGCTTTTAGGACTGCATAAATAAAATCCCACCTGAGGGTGTCAAAGGCCTTTTGGAGATCAATTTTCAATGTACATCTTAGAGAAATAGATTTTCTTCCATATCCCTTAACCAATTCCTGGGCAAGAATATTGTTATCAACAATACTCATTCCCTTTATAAATGCAGATTGGTTAAGAGTAACAAGATTAGGAAGAAATCTGCTTAGCCTGTTGACTAAAATTTTAGTAATAGCATTGTAAATCACAGTGCAACAAGAAATCGGTCTGAAGTCTTTAACCTTACAAGGGTTAAGAATTTTAGGAATCAAGACAATAGAGGTTACATTAAAAGCAGGAAGAAGAGCAGACTGCTAAAAGAAATATTTAATTGCTGTCACAACATCTTCTCCAACAACATACCAGTTTTTTTTGAAAAAACATGGAGAGTAACCATCCGGGTCGGGAGCTTTGTCATTACCTTGGCAGAATATAGCTTCTTTAATTTCCTCTGTGGTAATTTCCATGGTCAAGCTTGAAGATAATTCAGGAGGCAATGAAGAATTAAGAAGATCCTTCAAGAATTGAGGATCACTACCTTTGACATTAGAATCAGCAGTCCCAAGTAACTTAGAATAGAAGTCAAGAATTTCAGAGGCCATAGCATCAAAAGTTTCAATTATGTTTCCATTATCATCAACCAGCACTCGAATAGTTTCTTTTTTGTTTTTTTACAGCAACTGCAGAGTAAAAGAACTTGGAGCATTTATCACCTTCTTTAATCCATTGAATTTTAGCCTTTTACTTTAAGAACAATAATTCAGCTTCCTCTAATCTGATGAGCTCGTTTTGCAACTGGAGTTCATTGTCGAATAAGTCAACTCCTTGTAAGGATTTAAGTTGCTGCTGCTCAAGCTCAGTTCTCTTCTGTCTAACCCTATTAGAAATATCGCTATAGTATATAGAATTTAAATTCCTAAGGATAGACTTAAGGCGCTTCAATTTAAGGAAAAATTTATGCATTGGATTTCCCTGAATTACGCACTGCCAGGACTGTTCGACCAAGTTCAAAAAGGAATGATGTAAGGTCCATAAATTAAAGAACCTAAACGGTTTGGGGAGATTAGCTGGCGTATCTTTTGAGAGCCATACCATTGCCATACAGTGGTCAGAGGCTGCAGGAGCAAGAAATTCAACAAAAGAGATAGGGAAGGAGCTAACCCAGTTAGAATTGATAAGAACTCGATCAAGCTTTCTTGCGAGGAAGGAATCCATCTATTTATTGCTCCAAGAGAAAGTAGGCCCAAAAAAAGGGTGGTCATGCAAATCAAGATCAAGAGTTACATTCCAGAATTCCTTCATATAAGGAGATGAGAAGGGAAATAAGTCAAAATCATAACTTTCATTTGGATGGAGGGTTACATTGTAATCACCTCCCAAAATCCAAGGAAGGTGACCAATACTCCTATTCAGATCATACAAATGCTGCCAAAGATGTCTTCAAATTATGCCATTGTTACTACCATACACTGCTGTAACAATAAAAGATTTACCAAGAAATCGAGCCTGGGCATAAATAGATTGGTCAGAAGTATGGAGTATAGTAAACTCCAAGCCATTCTTCCATAAAACCCAAATTCTTCCATTTGCAGCACACTAATAGTTAGAGCTAATATTCCAATTAGCTAATTTTGATTCAAAAATGTCCTTGGACTTGTCAACCTTGACTCTAGTTTCTAATAGACATAGAACATCCACATTATTTTGGTTTGCCCTTTGAAGAACTCTGTCTTATTTTAGAGGATTATTGAATCCTCTAACGTTCCAAAAGCTAATAATCATTGGGAAGATGAGCTCAGTGAGTTCCCCTCACCATCAACAGAATGCCTTTTAGTTTGGTCCAATTTATCCTTCTTTTTCAGCTTTAGTTCTTTTACCAAACCCGCTACACCCAATGAAGCAGCTCTAATCTTCCTAGACTGCCCTTCTAAGGTAGAAGTATTTTCGTCAATCGAATTTAGAGCTTTAAATCTATTTTTTAAACCAACTAAGATAGTTCTAGCTTTACTGGGTCTACCTCTATCTCATTTTGAGTTTGATAGTTGAGGAGCAGTATTAACAGGCTCAACAAAAATATCAGTAACATCTTGACTATTATTAGCAGTGGCATTAAGAATTCCAGAAGACTCATTTATAATTTCAGGCAGAACAAGATAAATAGGAGCAACAAATGAATCATTAACAAGATCATCATGAGGTTGAGAATAAAAATTTTCACCTTTCTCTTGTTGTGCATGGGAAACTAGTTCAGCAATAGCCTGCTCCTGAAGAGCTTCACTTCCTCCTATTGTTGAGGCATCAAAACTTGAGATGGGATCACTTTTTTTCATCCAGAGTTGAGTAGTTATTGCTCTTTTAGAAGTTTTCTCGGAGCAACCTTTTCTGAATGGCCAAAACATTGCATTTTTTACATCGAGGTGGCAACTAGGATATTTCAACGTAGATTGTAGCAGTCTGACCATCCTGCAGGATAATATCAACATAATTGGGGATTTCATCTTTTACCCTAATTTCAACACAGAGTTTAGCAAATTCTAATCTGGTTTTAGAAGCTGTAATAGAATCCATAGAAAGTGGAGTACCAATAGCACTTGCTATATAACTAAGTCCTACTTGAGAGAATAATTCAAGAGGAATGTTATATAAGTGAACCCAGACAGGAATCTTTGACAGATCGAAATTAAGCCGCTTCAAGTTAGGTTCCCATTTTCTTAGTAACAATGGCTTGTTAAGAACGTGCCAAAGACCATTTTCAAGTATCTAATCCCTTGCAGATTCCGAATTAAAAGAGAAGATATAAAAAATTTTGCCAGCCAAACTCACCTGAGCAGTGGTTCCTTGCAAAGCCTTTTTCCAGAGATTTTGAACGATACGCTGCATTGAAAGGAAATTTGGCGTAGGCCCAAGGAATTGCCCCACAAGGGAAAGCCTCCATTCAGCCATTCCTGCTTCTAAAATCTCAGGGGGGGCTTCACCGTAGGAACACCGTCGCGAAGCTCAGGTGGAAAATTTTTTAGATTTTGCCCAGGGGAACTTCCAAAGAGCTTTCGCCAATCCATGAGATTTACCAAACAAATGAAGGGAATAAGCGATAAGCCGTGAAAGAGGACCGTCAGCCACCGGTGAACACGACGGAGGACTCGGTTGTCGTTAGGCCTGCTAACGTGCACCCATATTGAAGATGCTTTGAACAATTTTCTTGTTTATAATATTATATATTGCTATATATTATCTTTTACAATTTTTATTAGATATTACATTATTATAATGTGATATGAAATACACAAAAGTATTGATATTTAAAACTTTGTTGACATAATATGAACGCACTTTTGACAAAGTTAATCTCTTATCAATATTCTTTTTTCTTTCACATTAGTCATAATTCTGGGCTCCTACGTTATTTCATAGTTGGGAAAATACATACGAAAACACACATACATTCACCTAAACAAGTCAACAATATATACTGAATTTTTTGTTTATATATTATCTTTTGATTTAATCCGATGGGAATTGTTTTAGAATAAATATGACATTCATTGATTTATTGTTTTTTATTTTGACCATGGAATCTAATTATTGATAAAAATATTATTAACATTATTTTATTTTAACTACATGTTGTTAAAAAATTAACGACACTGGTATAATATTTTTTTTACATATGTTTTGGATTTTCAGACTTCACGATCTTATTGGTTAAATAAAAAAATGGTTCATGTGTTGAAAAATGATTCAAACCATGCAGAGACGAAGCTAAGATTCTAGTTCAAGGGGACAAAATATAATTAATAAAAAAAATAAGAGGAGTAAATTCAAAATAAATCAAAACTTGAAAATATAAATAAGTATGTATCCTTACATAAATTTTAATAATAAAAAAATTGAGGGCAGTGGCCCTATCCATCACTGAAACCGTGAACCATTGAGTAAGGAGTATAGGTGCTTAACCACTGAGAAAGTTGAAATTTTGTCATAGGTTCGTTAAAACTAATATATAAGTTAATATAATAATATGTGTTACTATCTCAAAATATATTATAATTCTTTTCTTTCTCACACCTTTAAAACCAATCAAACTCGGTTAACAATTAATTTAGTGAGTGATTAAAATTTTTTAGTTAATACTTTTAATCTTCGTTAGATTATGAGTTCAATACCTATTAAAAGTGAAATTTATCTTCCCTTTCCCTTAAATAGAAATTATTAGAGGAAAAAAAACAAAGCTCTTCATTTTCTTTTTGCCTTCACATCTCTCTCTCTCTCTTTTCTTATCTCTTTTTGTTATGAAGTTTAAAGACTTTTAATCGTTTTGAAAGATGGGTTTTTATTTAATGTATAAAATATAAATATTCATCATCTCATTAGTTAAAAAAAATGTATTATTCTCTTTTAAGCTTCTCAGTTCAAGTAATTGCATGTACAAAATATATATGCGTTATCAATGATTAAAAACAATTACAAATAAATACTATCTTATAATCACTTCAAACTATTAAAAAAATCATCTTTCTCTCTGCCTTTCCCCAATCTGCCCCCTCTTAATATATTAACATCTTATCTTTTCTCTATCATTTTATATCACATTAATTGTATCAAATGTGGCATAATTTTTAGCAGTATTAATGTGATAATTTACATGTATTTCATATTGATATGATATCATTTATTTTATATA